AGAGCCAAATACAAAATTTGTACAACTCACTGGTAAATTTAGATGGCAACAATGTACTGCTACATTTTAAAACATGCACCCTTTCTTTCACCACATTTTAAGCAGCCCACTGCTTGATTTGAAAACATACATGCCTTCCTTCACCCACAGCTTAATTTTGTTAGCAATTGTTAATTCCTCATCACTAACAATTTCTTTCTTCATGATCTTCAATGCTTGTGATGCACAAATCATTACATTATGCACATATATAGCACTTTTAGTCATATTTTAGCATGACTATTTCTAAACTGTTTAATTTCATCCAATCTCTGTAGAGTAATTATGTGATGGAAGTTTTAAGTCTAGGTCTAATCTTTTATAGTGAAATATTTTCATGCCATCTGTTATGATGAGCTTTTTTCTTAGTGCCTCAACTGCATGAATTTAAGCATGCTACTAGTTTGGCAACTAGGTCTTAAAATTTTACTGCAGATGCAACTAGATGCAGCTGTGTGTTTTATTCTAAAATTTTCTTTCCTAACACTTCATCTATGAGAAGATTGTCCAGCATTTACTGCCATACTGGAGGACTGATATTGCATAAGAGTTCAATAATCTTTACTTTGTTTTTAACAGAATTTTCCAGTTTCTTAATAATTTGCTTAGCTTTTACAAGACATCTTTCACTATCCCTATGCACTTTGGGATTTCAATATAGCACTTTCTGTGCTCTCTTAAAATGCTTTACAGATATCTAATTATATTCTTTGATTTTGATATTTCCAATTTATAATTTGCATGTTTGGCTGTTCCTTTTTCTAACAACAATGTTTTTTTGTTTTAATTAGAATCATCCCAAGCAAGGCAGTAATGCCACTAAAACACAAGTGGTTACAGGGTGAGGAAGAATTAGGAACAGAAACATTAATGATGAGTAGAAAGAGAAGAAAGTAATCTGATGGACAGTAGATAGTGATTGACATTGCATTTAAATTTTTGTAGATTAAACTTGGTTGGAAAACTTGGAGCCAGAATGGAGTTCCACAAGTGAGAAGTGTAAGTGTAAGTCTGTTAGCATAGAATTTATGGCTAAATCTAGCCAGGTCAATTGTAAATTGATAAGATCTCAATACCAGTTTAGTACTTTATTCACATTAATTGGACTATTGTCCTCATCTTTGTTGCCATATTTATTACAACATTTCGGCAGTTGTACACTCTGGCCTTCTTCAGGTGGTTGGAATGTCGAACTGAGCCCTTTATTTCACTCACTGAGGTAGACTGTTCTAGTACCACGTGCCATGTTTAATGGATGTCAGTTATCAGTTATCTCCTGTTAATTTCTCTCTGAAAGTTCTCCACTGCCTTAACTGGGTATTGAACTCACACTCTTTGGGTCCTGTCACTGGATCTAACCAACACCTTTATCCACTGTGCCATGTGTCCTTGAGGATAAGGCAGTGGAGAACTTTCAGAGGGAAATTAACAGGAGATAACTGATAACTGACATCCATTAAAATCATGGCACATGGAACTAAAACAGTCTAACCCAGTGAGCAAAATAAAGGGTTCAGTTCGAGATTCCAACCACCTGAAGAAGGCCAAAGCGTACAACGGCTGAAATGTTGTAATAAATATGGCAACAAAGATGAGGACAATAATTCAAATAATGTAAATAATGTACATAATACCTCATCTCAGAAATATAGACAGATGTTCGGTTCGACATTCCAACCACCTGAAGAAGACTGAAGCGTACAACGGCTGAAACATTGTGATACATATAGCAACAAAGACGAGGACAATAGTCTGAATAATATAAATAATGTACATAATACCTCATCTCAGAAATATAGATGTTTAGTTCGACATTTCAACCACCTGAAGAAGGCTGAAGTGTACAATGGCCGAAACGTTGTAATAAATATGGCAACAAAGATGAGGACAATAGTTCAAATAATGTAAAAAATGTACATCTCAGAAATATAGACAGATACAGTTTAGTACTGAGCTTAAATTCAAAAAGTCTAGGTACCATAGCAAAGATCTCATTTGAGCAAGTACCATGAAAGTATTTATAGAAAAGGCATAGAGAGGCAAACTTACAGTGGTGGAAAATTGACTGGAACTGAGATGACAGATCAGGACCAATAATTGTATATAACCCTAGCTTATTACATACTATGCAACTGTAATAGGATTAGGTAGTAGTAACACCATATGGTAATATACACTTTCCTTTTCTCTATGAGAGTGACAAAGAAAATTCTCTTTCTCTCTCTTCTCTATTACACATATTTCCTTTCCTTCCTTGGTAACTGACAGAACCCAGACATAGCTTATGTGGGTCAGTGAATGTCATAAAAAAAAAATCAACCAATGACAACATGTCCCACCTAAAATCAAACGGAAAACATGGATGTGTCAGGCCCAATAAAAAGACAAAAAAAGTGTGTGGAAGAAGAAGAAGAAATGGGAAATTGGTTCGATGTAGCAGTTTAAGATGCAAAGGTTGAAGAGTCATCATATGTGAGTTTGACTGGACATGCAAATCCAGAAGAAAAAGAAGGATGAATTCAATAAATTAATTTCTGTCAGCCAAAAAATACAATGACCCTGTATGAACTCTCAAATCACAAAAAGGACTAAGACAATAATCATTCACTCTAACGAAATGGAGTCAACAATAAAATGGTACTATAGATAGTAAATTTGGCCTTTACTTATGTATTAGCCCAACCTTCATCTCTATATACCATAAAATTATAAGTTCACAATATAATATTGACTAAGGCTGAGCTATGTTTCATTTTTATATTTTTATTATTCAATCTATTTTTAAATTACATTTGTAAATTATCATTATTAATTATACTTCAAGTTTCTTGACTAGCACAGCACAATGGCTAATGCTGAAGAGTGCAGACAGGTCAAAGGAAATAATTGTAAATAGGAGTTAATAGCTTTTGAATTATCTCCCTTGCATAGACGGTTTTTCTTATTTTATCAATCTATGTTTAATTAAAAATTACTCAGAAGCTGATGGCTTATTTCAATTGGCAATTGCTTTATTCTTTATGTTAGAACACTTTAATGGTATTGCTTGAAAAAAGAATTGTGCTACAATGCAGTATTTTCGCTGTGTTATAGTAGCATGAACACAGACGTCAGATCATGATAATTCTTTATGGCGGACAATTAATTTTAAAGACAGGTCATCAGGGAATGAAGAGTAATTTGCCATAAATTAAAATCAATTTTTCAGTAAATTAAAATAAATTTCAGGTGATTCAAATCAAATTTACCATGAATCAGGTATTGATTTTATTATAAAAGGAAAGCGTGGGCTTCTCTCAAAAGATTCTTTAGCATTTCATGACTCTTTAAAAACTTGATTTAATGATTTTTTTCTTCTGTAAAATGGCAGTAGATATTAACCATTTTATGACAGATTGGGTAACAATAACCTGATAATTAAAATAATTAATATTAAAGTACAAATACAACCAAAAATAGAATAGAATATTGCTGCCATATCAGACCAAAAATAGAGTAGAATATTGCAGCTCTATCTGGGCTGATGCTATCACTGTCCAACCATGATAGAGTTCAAAAGCATGTACACAGTCTTTGCATGATGAATTATTTTCAACACTACAACCCCTTTCACACAGAAGAGAAAGAAATCAAGAAAACAAAAACAAAAAAGAAAAATATAAAAAAGAGAAGAAAAGTAAGCAAAAAGAATGAAAACATAAAAGAAGACAAAAGAAAGCCTCAAGAAAAAACTGAAAAAGAAAGAAAAAAGAAATAGAGTGAAGAAGAAAAGATGGTGAATGAAAGCAAAAGAAAAGAAAAACTGATCAATTGATTTGCTCATCAGTTCTTTGTTGGTTATTTAAAGTCAAAATATATTTATTGTCGGATCTTGTTTACAGTAGCCAGTGTTCCCAAGCAGACGACCATCTAAAAACAGACCCGGCTCAATGCTGCTTAACTTGAATAAATGAATGAAAGGAAAGGCAAGAAAATAGGCAGTTGAGATATTTAACCCTTTGATCCCTGTGTTCCTGAACAATTTTAACCCTTCTGTCTGAGCTCCCGAGTCAAAATTCGCAAATAACTGGTATGTAATGTTTCATGGTAGATAAAAAATAATTACAAGTGTTTAGCCACTGTTCAACCTGTGGCAGGGCATTAAGTCATTTATCTCAATCTCCAGTAAAGATCAGGGGACAAAGGGTTAAAGGTTGACTGAATTCAACTTTACATAGCCTATCTGCATACCAAGTTTGATTGAAATCCATATAGTAGTTTCAGTGTCTATAAAAGACAGACACACTTCATTTTGTTTGTATAGACTTACTGTGTTCAGTTTGATTTTTCAATTATCTCCCCTTTGCTGATGTCCTGACACTGACTTCCAAAAGCTCTTTGCTCCAGAACCCACTAGCATAGTATCTGTCAAAAATTGAGATTATTTAGAGGATTAGTGTAGTATGTGTGCATTCTGTGAAAGTATTATTATTTAAAAAGTGGTCAATTTTGGATATTGACTATGGACCATGCAGTGTTGATATCTGTCAGTTTCAGACTATGTCACTATTCCTTGTACACTACATATAGGTCACTGGAGACTTATAGAAATTTAGTTGCTTGTGCTTAGGTAAAGCTAATCTTTAACTATAGCGGTGGTCATGACTCAAAAGGTTAAGATCTTTCTCAAAACGTGAATTGCTTTGTTTATTTGTTCCTATTAAATCAATTGTGCAAAAGTTTATAAGAAAAAATCCAATTTAATTTTTTATGTAAGTTGCAAAATACAAAATGATGTTTTTTGTCAATATTCTGTTTTGTTACAAATTCAAATGAGATTAAAGAACAAATGAAAGAGATTAAAAAAATGTACGGGGAAAACAATTTTCGGTCAATAGTTTTCATTCTGCAAAGAAGAGAACTTGGAAAAATATAACAACAAAAAGAAAGACAAAAAATTTAACAGAAGTATGGTGTCATCAATGAATAATATCATCTATAATATCATCTATAATATTCTTCACTTTCTTTTTTTTATATCTGTATGATATATGATAATATTTGAAAAAATATAAATTTGGCACATATTCAGAATGTGTACACTCATGATTCTACACTTCCTGATTATCTGTAAAAAGCCATGATGTATTGGGAAAGGTAGTGTAGTTTCCTATTGCTTTCTCCATGGTTTCTTTCAGCTTTCTTTCTCTTAGACTGGCTACCATCCAAGGCTATTTTATTTATAGCTATGGATTTGTAGTAGTATGCCCAGTTTAAGAAATAAAATAAAAATATTTCTTAAATTCCCTGAAAAGTATCACTTACATATCATCTTCTTTACACCTTATTAACATTAACACGGGCATTCTTAAGCACAGGTCAATCAGCTAACTTTATTTCTGAAACTAGATATTTGGATAAGTGAAAACAAAAGATCAGAGACTCAGTACCAAAGCAAAGGACAATCCTACTCACACACACACAATGCACTCCCTGACCACTTACCGGCCTTGATGTCAGTCTACACTACCCTTTTGTGAGAAATTGGCATAGGCTGGTCCACTCTGCTCTACTCCACCAAAGTACTAATCAGGACAGTTATCTGCTACAAAAAAGGAGGATTCTCTCTATATATCTCTGTTCCAAAGTACCACTAGCTATGAACTCTGTCTCACCAAAAACAAAGAGAGATGTATTCAATTCATTTTGAATGTAAAAAACATTCTATGCTAATCCCCACAGATTAAATAGCCATGTAGACCCAGCTCTCTATTATCAACTTTAAAGGGAGCAATAATTTCACTGCCTATAATACTAACCCAAAATATTACTCCACCTCCCACATGTTTTCTTCTAATTCATATTTGTGGACAAAGGACTCACCCTGTTGGTGGCATGAAGAAATGTATCTGGGAGGTATTTATTGTATGTTGATTATTTATTAATATTCCTTCTAGGTATTTTCTACATATTAGGTTTAAGTCATTTTTTTTAATAAGATAATCCATTAAATTTCTTAGTATCCCATAGAAATAACAGAGGCCACAGTTTTGATTTTAGAAATGCTAACATATTAAAAATCCTAAAAATTTAGCAACATTATTTGGCTAATACTAATTTTATTGTAAACAAATTGACTAATGTAATATAGTCATGGTGAACAAGAATGATATTACTGCTCCAGCAGATGAAAGGGTAAAATTAGAAGCAAGTGAAAAGTTGAAAAAAAAATATCTGTTGAATTGATCAGAGAAAAAATATGGAAATAAAGGTGAGCACTGTACCCATCATTATTAGAGAGCTTAGAACTAAGGAGCATTGCAAATATGGCAGTGAATACGGAACAATCTCCTCACAGATGATGAGACTTGAAACAACAAAAATGTAGTCCTACAGGAGGATGCTGAGAATATCATGAACTGAACACATTAGCAAGAACAAAGTTTTAGAAAAAATGGAAACAAAAATGACATACAAGTATCAGAAAGAGAGTTTAAATTTCTGAGGAAAGAGAGCTTGGAAAATTTGACACTCACAGGACAGATTGAGGTAAGAGGGTGAGAGGAAAGCAACATGCAAACTTTTGTGGAGCATGAGCAAATGGATAGCAAAGAAGGGTTTTGAGAGAGATGGCAAAAAGAAAAAAGTTATTAAGAGCAACAAATGACAAAATATTGTGGGGTGCCATGATTTCCAGTGTCTTGAAGGGATATGGTACATAGAAGAAGGAGAATAGTAATATTAGCCACTCAACTGGGATCAAAGTGTAGTATCTGTACTCGTCATCTCCAATGGTAATGGTGAAATTAGCCATTTACTTACTGGCCATCATGCAGGAAGTGAAGAAACAAGAAACTTTCATCATTAGTGTTATGGTCCTTTTCCTTGTACCACTGTGATAGCCCAAAGTAGAACCAATAAAGAAGAACTCGAACACAGATATGGAACAACACAGATATATTACAAACATAAATATATACAGAGAAGTAGAAAGTGTTAGTATGAACAATCAGGTTTAGTAGTGATTATCTGAACATGACTCTGTTTCGGACTGCCTCTGACTCGACTGACTGACTCACTCGCTCTGACTGACTGACAGACTCCTGATGGACTTCCGGCGGACCTCACTCCAGACTTCAGATTGAACTCTCTGCTTCCTCTTGAGGCGCAGTATTTATTACGTATGGAATAGTTCATTATGTTATTATGGGTAAGGTCTCATAACAATTAGAAACAAAGAAAAGTGTACTCAGCTATTATGTAATATCAGTTCTTCTGTATGACAGCGAATGCTGGACAATCTCCTTACAGATGAAGATGAGACTTGAAGCAACAGAAATGTGATCCTACAGAAGGATGCTGAGAATACCATGGACTGAATATGTGAGCAACAACAAAGTTTTAGAGAAAATGGAAACAAGGACACTTAACATCAGAATTTTTGCTTTGATTTGTTTGTTTAATGGCATATCAACTCCTTATGGGTCAAAGTGAAAGTCTAGATTTTCCCAACTGAGATGATGTCTTTATTAAAGAACACAGCACAATTTTCAGTGTGCTGTATCCTATCATAAAGACATGTTATCAGTTCTGAATTAGGCTTTCTAACCAAGAAACCTACATATCTTTACTATATTGTCCTGCTTATCTGCAAATATAACAATTGTTTTTCAACCTAGATCAGAGTATTGTATCTGCCCAAATCCCTAGCACTTCTTAATTATAATATTAAGCAGAAAGGAATTCTGAAAAGCAAGGGAGAGGAAGAGAGGATTTTTTGGTTGGTTGTTTTATTTAGTGGTATACCAACCTCTATGGGTTATTTAATGCTTAAATCTAAATATTTTGTATATAATTTTATTTTATTTTTGGAGATAAATTTCTAAGTTGACTCCAAGTGAAAGTAGCATCTGTTAAATAGTCATTAATTAGCAAGGTAATTAACAGGAGTAGATAGGTTTGCTTATCTGCTTCACACTTTAGGATTGAGTTTCCAGCTCTTCTAAAATCTTTTCATTATCATTCAATCTCAGTGGCCCCTTTGTGTCTTAGTGGCATTATCACCTTGGTTGGGGTGAATGGATTAAAAAAAAAAGAGTAGATATATCAACCAACCATTATAGGTGGCTTGGCATAAAATAATAATTAGCAAGGCTAGTAGGCATGCCACATACAAGATTCAACATTAAATAACCCAACAAGAGTTGACATTTTAAGTCAACCAACCTAACCTAACACAGTATTAATATAAGATACTAATGGACCTAGTGGGGGATTTGTTATCTATTGTTATTAAGTAATAAACAGATCCCTCACACCAATTACTATATTGATATGCCATCATTTTTGATGGTATGGATAAACTAGGTACCTTAGCATAGGATTATGGTTAGTAAGTCTAGTCTGGTTGACCATTACTACTGTGTAATGAGCTTGATCCTCACTAGGTGCCTCAAAAGGGTTTAACATTAACCCAACAAGGGTTGACTTGTAAAATCAACCAACCTAACCTAGTTTAAATATAAAATTCTACTGGACATAAAATGGGGGATTTGTTTTCTATTTTTATTAAGTAGTAAACTGATCTCTCACACCAATTACTACATTGATATACCATAATTTTTTTATGGTATGGATAAACTAGTATCACCAGGTGCCTTGGCATAGGATTATGGTTAATAGGGCTAGTCTGGTTGACCATTACTGCAGAGTAGTGAGTTTGATCTTCACTAGGTGACCCAAACAAGAATCAACATTAAATAACCTAACGAGGGTTGACTTGTAAAATCAACCAACCTAACCTATTATTAATATGAGATTCTATTGGACATAAAGTCGGAGATTTGTTATCTATTGTTATTAAGCAATAAACAGATCCCTTACATCAATTACTACATTGATATGCAATCATTTTTGATGGTATGGATAAATTAAGTACCTTGGCATAGGATTATGGTAAACAAGTCTATTCTGGTTGAACATTACCACTGAGTAGCGAGTTTGATCATCATTAGGTGCCCCAAACAAGATTCAACATTAAATAATCCAACAAGGATTAACATGTTAAATCAATCAACTGTCTTAGGCATCTTGGTATGGGGTAATAATCAGTGTCTGTGTGGTCATTACGAGTTTGATTCTCACTGGGTGCTGTATACAAAATTTAATCTTGAACACCCTAACAAGGGCAGAGTATTTTCTTTGATCAGCAGAGAAGGAATTGGAGAGAATTCAAAATCCAATTATAATACTGAATCCCCAGCATTACAGAGATGTTGAGAATGATATAGTCTGTGTCGCACACATTGCGGAGATGATAATTTAAACAAGTGAGAGCTGTGATAATTCCATGGCTATTAACAATTAAAGTTATCTATTATTTCATCCCACTGTTGTTCTTTTAGGTTTTGCCTGTATCTTCTCATTCTCTCCCTTAACCCTTCTAATTTTTATTAACTATCCGTGATTTTATGCAAATATGGATACATTTCAGATGCAAAATAAAAAAGGAATAAGGATTGTATAAATAATTCCTTCTAGATCCTCTCTTTTAATTTTCTTTTGCTTTATCTCTAATGTGAAGAATTTTAATGATCTGAAATTATGACATAATTCCTTTTCTACCCACCCTTCTATTTTTTTGCTTGTTTTTTCTTGATATCCTGTTAACAAGCCTCTCTCTCTTTTACTGACTTTCTCTAAACTTTGTCAATTCCCCTTTTCTCCCTCTCTCTTTCTCTCTTGCTGATAACCCCTGGTGAGTGGACAGAGTGATTCCTGGAGGGTCCATCTATGAAACTCTGAAGGTAACATAAATCAGTTAAGTTACAAACTTTTATGTGTATTAATTCTTTCTCTCACTTACTCTCTCTAAATATATATATATATATATATATATATATATATATATATATATATATATGAAGATTTATTTTAAATTTCATTAATAAATCATTTTAATCATTAGTTATCAACCATCACCTGAAGAAGTACCATCTTAGTAGTGAAACATGAAAGTTTTTGTGTAGCAATGTAAAATGTT